TACATTGATTACAAAGTGATTTTTCCAACAGAGAATCAGCTCAGTAAAAAAGCATCTTGCTGTGCATATATAGCACGTACCAGCCTTTATTAAGGGATCAGCTGATTATTATTCTGCTACCAGCTTTTATTTTCTTCTTCTACTCCCCCTCTTGCGGGAAAGCTGCATACAAATGCAGCAATCGATTGAGAGGAGATGTTCTTCCTTTATGAGATTAATTACAAACATAGGGATGCTGTGTCTAGCCCGCATGTATGATTGATCTTGTAGGAGGAAATGCAATAGGAAACTAATGCTTCCTTTTATCCAGTAAGCAAAGTTCAGAGATGTTTACATTCTGCTAGGTAAGCACAGCTGTCTAAAGACGTGAAGACGGATGGACTGTCCTGTCAGCACAAATTCATGCCGAGGTAACAGACTCCGCCGTCTCTGCGGACCTCTCTCCGGCCAGGAGGCTGTAGGGCCAGAATCGCTAATTTAGCAAACAGCTTAATTGTTTCACGTTTTAATTAGCGGGGAGATCCAGGCAGAGCCGATGAGCTGCAAGGGGAAGGCGTTGGTGGACCGTGCTGGTGGGGCCGTGGGGCGAGGAGGGAGGAACGCTCCTGGTGATGCCGAGCACAGGGTGGTGGCTATTGCAGGGCAGTTTTTCAGAAATTGCATCGATTTTTTTTTTCTTTAAAATCTGGCTGGCACAAGGAGTGATCTGTGTATTCGCTCTGAGTAGCTCACAGCGTGTAACTGTGGAAGCATCTGCAAAAAGTGCAGTGCTTAGCTGCCCTTGTTTCTATTTGTATATAAATATACTCGTATGAGCCCTGGATTTGGCTCAGGGTGGTTCTGAAAAGGTTCGTTTTGTTCTCGGGCACAGGCTGGCACTTGTATTTAGGCTGAGAAACAGTGTCAGAGGTGACGGATCCAGCTTAGTGACTCAGCCTTCTTCCTCACACTATTTTAAATAATGGATGTGCTACTGCTGATATTTAACTCCTGCCAGAGCTGCTGAAATATATGGCCTGTTTAAAATACCAATACAACACCGAATGTCTGCTCAGGCAGAGGAGGAGATCTCCACCTGGGATCGGTTTTCTCAAAAGGAAAAAATAAATCGGAGGGAGGAGGAGGAGGAGAAGAAGGAGGGGGGAGCCTAGGACATAATATCTTGTAACAGTGTAAAAATGCCCTTCACTTGAGGCAGTAAAGCAGTCAGCTCTAGCAGCATGTCGACGGAGAATCCTGAAATCGATACTGCAGTCTGCATTATATTTATACAAGCATACGCACTGCGCGGATGACGAGGGAGAGAAAGGGCTGTTCCCTGGATTAAAATAATTAGTGTAATAAATACAGCCTGGTGAGCGCCAGAGGAAGTAGGGATCCCTTTGTTCACATCTCGCCACTTAGAGCTGGGTAAGCAAGTCTCGTGGTGTTAAGCTCAGAATTTACTTACCCTTCTATTCTCTGTCCAGAAGTCTTGAGCAGGATGCTCTGCTGATGCCAGAATTAACAAGCGACGCTGGATCTCTGCTGCCTTCGACCAACGTCGAGGATTTCAAGGGTCTTTTCTTCTCTTTTCCTTCTTTCTGTCCATACAAATCCTGCCTGATAAACATGGATCCGTTTGCTGTTTAGCAGTCAGTTTGCTAGGCTTGACAAAGGTTATTGCAATAATTGATGTTCCTCTTCTAATAATTAATGTTAATGAGTCCACTAAACAGTAAACAAGACAACAAAGAACTGTTAATGAGACAGTCTTTACTCATTTGTTTAATCTTCTAGTAAGATAATGGGCGATAAATATATTGCTATTCAGCCATCTTCAAGTCCTTAATGCGTGGAGAGTGTTTTAAAAAGAGATTTGAGCTGATTTTTTACACTTGCATTTAGTAAATTCAGCTGACTGGGTAGGTGGGGCGCCTGAAAGAATTGGGAGACCTATATAATTAAGTGCCTTGACATTCTGCTTCTGAAGGACATTGGCGGATATCCAAATGCTATGTTCTGCTCTCAAACCATTTAATTGAAACCATACAAAAGGGGGGGGGGGGGGGGGGGCGCAAAAGAGAGGGAGATCTTGGCAAAAACCTTATGTGCAGTTTTTCACTATTGGATTGACCAGACAGGGCAACAAAGCTGATAAAACAGGATTAGCAAAATTGCATTGTTGGATATTATATGCTGTGTGACATGTACTACAGCAAAGGAATTTGGCAGGATTAACCTGCCGAGGATAAAGATGTACCAGACAAGAGGGCTGAATTAATAGACTGCTGTGACCAAAGCAAGGAAATCTATTTGCATGGGATATTAAGGGTGGTAATAACCTTGTGGGATGGGGTTGCAGTTGATGTCCCAAATCCTGTGCTGACCCCGTGCCCGAGACCTGCTCACCACCCAGAAATTCAATGTACAAAAACCATCTCATTGGCACGGTTTCTCATTATGCTTTCCTGTTTCTAAATATGAAAAAAAAAAAAAAAAAAAAAAAAAAAGCTAATTCCTAGGCAGGATTATCTGCGTTACTGCAGTTTTTTGTGTTGGTGGCTTTTTTCCCCCCAAACCGATAAGTTTTTTTTCCTGTTTATAGGCGATGAGATTCTTCTCTTAATGCACTAGTGTCATCCTAAAGTAAATATTTGGGTTTAGTGGTTTTCTTCAGGGCTTCTAGACTCAGCCAGCTGGACAGCATGAGGGAATGCAGTTCCCTAGGTGCTGGTTACTCAGCTGTTTAGGAGATTGTACACTTACATATGCGTAACCTAGCTGAAATCATAGGAAAGCTTTCAAACCACATTGCATTAAAGAACATGAAAGCTATTGCCAGTAGATGACTGAATAAAATCCTACTAAGTAAAAATGGGAGAATATTGAAATTTCAGCTCAGACATACTCTAAGACTATGTCAGACTATTTGACTGAGCAGGTAAAGAAGCAGAAAACCAACTTCCATCTCTGGTGCATTAAGGGGAGAGAAAGTAGGTAAGTGTTCGTTTCTCCCTTGTACAACATATAATACTGGTTTTTACTTGAAAAGGCTTTTAAATTCGCTTCTTCCAGGCAGAAAGCAATGCATATACAGTAGCCTGGTTTTTTTAAGGAGTCTGATATACTTCAGCGCAGATTGCATGGAAGGTTTCAGAAGGCTTTAAACAACCTTGAAAAAGGCTCATATAATTTGTTTTTCTTTTCCCACCCACAGTACTAGTGGCGGACTTTAGTGTTCCCAGGGAACAGAGAACGTACAAAAAGTATTTGGTGTTACTCTGCGTGACACAATGTGCTTCATGGAGTGTGCTCTGTGCCACCACGTGTGGTAAAAGATCTGCTCAGGGGAGACGATTCACCTTCATCCGGCATTACCGTGTCAGCACTGAACAGCACCAGCCACAACACAAGTTCAGCTTTCGGGCTCTTCCTTTCAGGGCTGAAGGCTGAATAATAGATATGCATAAAATATAAATACCTTGGTTTTTTTCAACGTGTTAAAATTCCAGAAACTGCTCTTTAAATAAAAGCTCTGTTAGTACAACATGACTGAGACTTTACAAGTGTGCACACATGTACGGGTGTCAAGAAATTTAGCTCCGTTTCCTGCAGTGACTAAATTGCATAACCTGTTTCTCTGGGCTGTCATCTGTTAGTGCGTATGTTATCGCTCTTCTGCCCAGGGACCTAAACGTGACCACGGCTCCCTTCTCTGCAGGGGAAAGACAACACATGAAGTTTCCTTTGGATTGCATTGGGCGGTAGGCATGGATGGGGGGAACGCTTCCTTCGTCAGCAGCATCAGAAATTTTGCCTCCACATCTAACCCATTTCAGGAGAACCAGTAAAATCCAGCAGTTTCTCCCAGGAGCTTTGCTAGGCTTCACGTCACTTTCATTTTGGCTGGTTTGCTTAAGGACTCCTGCGATGGGTCCTCATCCTGAGCTGATTCACAGAAACTCTGCTTTCTTTTGGGTTTTGGTTGCTGAGGAAAGCCTGTAATACGCAGGGCTAAGTTTATCAGTTGTTTATTTTTCAAAGGTACCTAGATGAATTAGCCCAATGAGTTGTTGGTAACCCCTTAAGAATGATCTATTTCAAGCAAGTCATTGCACCACCCATGCAGCGTTTTGAGGGGAATCAGGGAGAAGCCTCTGTTCGTTTCCACATTTTTTTTGTCTGCTTGAAAAGCTGCAGGACTACCTGGACCCGTGCCCACCCCAAGGCTGTTCCTGTAGTGCTGCAGCATTGCGATGCTGAATTCTCGTGCTGCCCCAGAGACACGCAGTGTGCAGGCTACAATGGTCAGCGTGCTCACCACCATCAGCCTTGCACAGACAAAGGAGATTTATTTCTTTTTCCCTTGAGCAATATGAAAGTCCCAGAATCTGTAACCCACTGTTTGGTTTTAAAAGAAGATCAGCTTTCCTGGCCAGCAGCAGGATGTGTCCCTCAGCTTCTGCAAGCTCCTGAGGGATGGGTGTCTTGCAGGGGAACGGAGGGCTGCAGACCAGGACATTCACAAGTCCCAGCAGGACTTCTGTGGGCTGGGGGCACCTTCCCAAATGCCAGCACACCGGGCAGGTTCTGGGAATGGACCCTGCACGCTGGTGTCCCACCCGCCTGAGAGGAGCAGACAGGGTGCGGGCGTGGGGGCGAACGGTGGCATCGCGCTGGGGAAGCCACGCGGTCCCTGGGGCACCGCTCTCCTTTTGACAACGTCCCGAGACCTGTGGCAAAAGCAGCCTGCTTCTCCCATGTCTCTGAGGGCTTGGCTGAGTTTCGAGGTTGCTTTGCGAGCCTGCATCCCTCCTGAGGTGAGCGCAGCTGCAGGGGCCACCTCTGCGAAGCAGAAGATCTTGAGTGCAGAGCCAATCTGCCACTTTTTTTTTTTTTTTTTTTTTTTTTTTCGCCCCCCATGGATTCATACACCCTTTGCACTTTTGCATTTCAAGCAGGCGGGGGGTAGATATCTGCGGGATCAACGGACCTAACGCTGTCACTTTGCTTTGCAGCACGCGGCGATGTGGAAGACGGACCCCGGCGGAGGGCAGAGCATGGAGGAGCCCGGCGGTGGGGAGCCCGGCCGGGGGGGCCCCCCCCTCGGGTGCTGTGCAGCAGCTGGTGTTGTGAATCAGGCCGTCGCCAGTCGGAGAACGGCTACTTCACAACACCAGGGTCGCACCGCACCACGGTTCGACCGCCGGCCGGAGAGGAGCGGACGTTCCCGCAGGCAGGCAGGGGATGTGGAGCACCTCCCGGCTGCCTCCGCCCAAGCCCAGACCTGCAAAGGTAATCAGGTGCTCAACTCCTATTTAGGCACCAGCCTCCCACTGAAGTCTGAAATAGAAGTTAGGCCCCTAAATATCTCTGTGGGTCTGGCCCCGAGACCCCGCCTTGCTGTGCAGTGCAGAGCAGTGCTTCAGCAGGCACAGGGCGGTGCTGTCAGCAGCGTGGTCACTGCCTGTTTGCATGCCGTGTGAATGTTAAGGAACAGGTAACTTTTATGAAGCCGTGGTAAATCGCAGGAAAAGAAAAAAAGCCTCTGCACGCTCCATGTGTCGTTCTCCCCGATAGTTGTGTCTGTGGTTCTTGCTTGTGACTAGTCCTGATCCCTTCCCTATCTAGACACCGGATCACATGTTCTCTGCAAAAAATCCTGTACGTACCAGGAAAGAAGCCAGACTCCTTGGGAATGACATTTAAAAGAACCCTAGGTGTGTTGTAATGAATGAAAAAGCACCAAAAATAAACAGTGGGGTTGTCCAGAAGTGGTACCAACCGCTTGTCCTTAAAATAGAGAAAACATTTGATTTTGCGTTGCTCAAGCAGCTCTTCATAAATTATTAGGTATAGAGGGACAGCAAAGCACACTCAAACTAACCCTGTCTGGAATGGCCCTGTAATACCGGTGCCATGCGTTTCAGGTCTGAAATGCAGGCTCTCCCCTGCGCCCTCCCTTGTACCACAGCACCGTAATGTTAGTTTGAGGGGAGTGGGTTATGGCAGAATTTCCACCCAAAACCAGGTCGTGTTCATGGAGATCAGCACAAAGCTGACGGCTGTACACGATCCTTCAAGTCAAACTGAAATGCTGTTCGTTTTTTTGCTCTCTGTAAGCAGCAATCTGCTCTTGGACTCAGGATGGGGGGTTTCTGGTGGGTTTTCCCTTCCTTCCACCCCTCAAGATAGACTGGCTGTATGCTCTTAGGTTGTTGTCTGGCTGTTGTCTTGTATGACATAAAACACTGGATGTATCTAAAGCAAAAAGTGGAGAAATGCAGAGAGCAAACAATCAAGGTGCCATAGAACTCGTGAGGAGTTTTTTTGAAAGTTTTCTTCATTGTCCTAACTCATCTGATTGAAGCCAGCACTAATAATCCACCCTGGATGTATGATTGCTGGCAGGAAGATTGAGATAGGGGAGAGTCAGGATATACACAAATAGCATGGGACAGCCTGGAATGGCAAATGAAAAGAGGCAAAGGTGATTAATTACATTCGACCCATCCTAATCTTTCTGTTCAGGTGGGCTTCCTACAGAAGTGATAATGAATTCCTTTAATAGCAGAAAGTCCACAGCCAGCACCATGAACAGCACGAGAGACGTATAGGAGGCTCACTCATACGTTAGGAAAGGGCAACCTGATGATGCAGGCTAGCACTGGCTTTTTTCATTGATTAGAGGAAAAGCAAGACTGTGTTTCTGGTTCAGGCACTATGGCAAGGAGAAGTATGAATTTGTCAACCCAACAAGCAAGAAGTCTGTTTTATTAAACTTGTTCTCTGCTAACACAAACAGTGTGCGCTGTGTGGTAATCTCATTGTTCATTATAAACTTGTTTTAAAGCCTAATGCAAATCCGGGGTTTGTTTCATGGGGTAAAATACAGAACTCTTTAGAAATGGGAGACAACAATGAAATAGCCCAAATAACCCCTGCACACACACCAATTTAGATCAGCAGCTATTCATATATCGAACTAAACACTGTTTTGTCTTCTATTGTGAGCCAGAAACCTGTTTGACCTATTCAGTTTCTGTCGGAAAATACACATAACATTTGAAATAGGTTAATGCTTAATATCCGCTGCCGGGTGACCTGATAGACTATCTCCATACTTCTCCAAGTATAATATGTGGAAACAGGTCATTTTCAGTGCCCTTTGTTAAAGAATTCCTTGGGAACATCACACTTCAGAAGTACCTTTGGGGCATTTATTGTACTCCCTGTTTCTAACTTGAATCCATCACGCTTTATGCTCTTCTGAAGTGATTTTCTAGAAAATTAATGGATGCTATAATACAGCATTGCTACTGAAAATCAAGCACTCACGCTTGTCATTAAAGAGCCTGATGGTGTCATCTTGTGCGGTGGATCTCAGCCTGAATAGCCAACTGTCAGCTTCAGGTGGCTGAAGCAATTTCTGTTTGCTCCCTTCAGCAGTTAAAAATACTTGATGTTAGCACGTGCCGCAGTGAAAGGTGAATGCACAAAATAAATAGTTCAAGATGAGTTTTAAATTTGTGTGAGTGTTATTCTTAAATAAGCGCCTACAGTTCATGTCAACCCCAATTCTGGCTGCTGAAATGGGAAAACAGGGGCTCGCCTGGTTTCTGGGTAGCCCCCAAAACAGGAGGCCCTTGCAGTCTGTGGGTATGCCTGGAGAGCTTTCTGGTGCTTTCCAGATCCTTTCTCCTGCTTGCGTACTATTATCAAAACTGGTAGTTTACCCCCCACACCCCCCCAAAAAAATACCCCATTAGAATTGTTGAAAGGCCTAATTTTATCATCTTAATAAAACACTGTGCTCAGTGGTGGGGAAAAAAGAAGAAAAGGGCAAAGCCTATCAAAGCTGAAATGCTGGGCTGTAATCTCTTGTGAGATTTTTTTTTTTTTTATTTTTAAGGGGTTGTTATTCCAAAAGTGCTTTTTGTATTTAAGCAAATAAGATTTCATTTTGTCCTTGAACCCTTTAAAATCTAAATCTGATGGGTTTATTTTCTCAGTGCGCATCCACTTAGTACTACGGCTGTTCTTCAGTTATTTTGAATGGCTGTCTTTGTTTCCTTCCCGGGCTCACCAGCAGTGCACGTAGCACTTCAGAGAGTAGCATCCTTGTAAATTTTGTTCTCTTTCCCCTGCATGCAAAAGCCAAGCTGGCAGGCACAGTAGGGCTCAGCATCTCTCACTTTCTGTGTTTGCATGCACGCTGCTTTGTTATCGTGGGGTTCCTCATGAAAAGTGCTATTAACGGATTTCCTTTTCGTCTCTTTAATTAGGCTTCCTCTTTGGCAAACAACTAATATGAAATTAAAATGATATTTCAGGCAGCATTGCGAAGCAAACAGTAGGTGGGACTGAATTTTGGTACCCACAAACCTGAGTCAGGTTTTATTTCAGTGCTAGAACAGCATCTCAATAGGAAGAGGAAAATCGGGAAACAGTCTTCAGGCATCTTATCACAGCGAGCAAGAGGTGACGCTATGGAGGAAGAAAAGGGCCTTGTTCACAGCTACCGTTTTAAAAAACAAAGTAGGATTTTGGTAGGAAGTCTGATCAGATTAAATAACCTATGAAACTCCCATCTGTTTATTCTGTCCTTGGTACTTTGAAGTAATTTCTGTGGGACTCGTGCTTTATCCAGCACATGGCAAAAAGATGGCCAGTGGCAAAGAAAGCAGGAAAACAGGGAAAAAAAGGCAAAATGAGCAAACAAAAAGGAGCCGGGAGGGAAGGGGATGGCATCCCTGCAGCAGGCACTGAGGGGGTGAGGCAGCAGCAAAACCACGAGCCAGAGAGCAAGCACCACTCAGGTGAGGGCACCGAGTGGGCATTAGCTCGCTGTGGGTGAAGAAGCTGTGAAATGCAGGTCTTGGGCAGCAAAGGCATCGTGCTACTTCAGCACTGGATTTCCACAGCCCTGTATGCGTGGCTGTAGGGTGATGGCTCTGCAGTGCTGTGCGCCTGCTGATGCCCACCTCAGTCACCCTGTAGTAAATGACTCTCAGCGATTTTTGCAGTTCACAAATGCAAGTATATATATTAGATATGTATTTTTAGAAAAATCAGCATCCTCCCTGTATACAGTCAGGCCTCAAACATGTACATAAAAGGGGCTGAAACGTACCCATTGTGCAACGAAGTGGCACCACAAAGAGCATAAAAATCACAAAAGCTAAATAACTGTTTCACTCAAAGGTTGATGTAAACAACAGAAGTGAGTAAGCAGTCTCTGAAGATCATATAAACTACTCAGTGAAGTTTTATAACCGATCCTCTAAGGAGATTTTCCCCGTTTAAAGGCCAAAGCAACAAAGACTTTGCTGTGTCATATTCCTTGTCTTTATGTATACGGGAAATTAAAAAAATTATGATGCTGTTTTGACAAACAGTCGCCTCTGTTCTTTAGCAAGACTAACTACATGTGCCTCAATAAGTGAGATTTTACATTGCATTTGATTAGACATAGTCCTCCAACCGTGCATTAACGGGCAAGATCTGCCCACACATGCGAGCTTAATGCACGCAGCTCTTGCCGTCACAGAGATCTTTTTGAAAAAGATGTGCAAAACAGCCCAGCCAGCTGCTCCCTGATGCCCATTTCGTGCCAGGAAAACTCCTCTGCTCCCAGGGGTACACGGGCACTGGGCTGGGTGCTGGGAGGGAGGCCAGGACCAGGCACCCACCCCTGTGCCACTGCAGCTTCATCGCCCCACTGCTCTGTCCGCAGAGCGCGGGGCAAGGGCTTGGCACGGGCTTGTTCATGCCTGGGCTGGGACAGCACAAAAATCAAAACTGGGAAGAGACCTGAGGTCTCTCTTAACGTTTTGAGCACGTGCCGTCGCCATGATTCAGCTAAAACTTTTGGCAGTTTGGAAAGAAAAACCCAGTTGTAGAGGAGAACTCTTTGTCGTATGTCAGACACTCAACATCCAAATACAGTGTTTCCCCCCCCCCCCCCCGCATGCCTTTAGTGAAGGGGTTGTTAAGATGACTAAACCTGCATTTTAATTCCTTCCTTTGCACAGGGGTCTCGTGCCCTGACCTCTCCACCCTGGTCTCCCTGCCATTTGGGATGTGTAGCTGTGGTAGCACAAGCGTCCCTGGGCTCTCCAGGAGAGCTGGCAGCGCCTCCGTGTGAATAGCAGCCGCGGACTGGAGCGGCTGCTAGCACTACAAATTGCATTTCATTTCCAAAGCTCGGGCTGAATTTCACCGACACAGAGACGCCAGATCTGGGGGAGGTCTGAGGGGGCAGCGTTTTTTTGCCGGTTTTACCTCGCCCTGCTGAGGCACACGTCCGCAGGACGGGGGTAGTGATGCGCACCCACCCACCTGCTCCCCTCCCCAAAGCCTCCCCAGAGGGCTGAAACAGGGACAGGACCCCACCACCCTCAACTGATAAAGAACAGGACAGTCTTTTGCAAAAGGCACTGCTCTCCCCGTATGCCTGACAGCCCTATTCCTTGCTGAATGGCAAAAGGGCTTTAGCGCCGACAACCTACAGGGGTTTTACATGACTATTTTTTATGATGTAAAAATACTGGTTTCCATAGTAACAGCCATGTGGGCCGGCACTTACCCCAACTCTGGAGATATGTTGCAGAAGACTCTTGGAGAATAAAAATCCCTGCATGTCCCAGGAACTGCTGCATATCAGCAGGGTGTTTCCAGGGGAAGCACTCCTGCTCTCCATCACCTCTCCCTTCACTAGATTTCACTATACCTAGTTTATTATTTTATCGTTCCAAATAAACTTTTGTTGTTGTTCTACCTTAGGGACCTCCAGAGAGACCAATATCACAATGCCAGCATCTCCCACATCAGCTACAGTGTGTGATAACTCTCTGGTGAGAAGCAGCAGCTCTTTTCCTCCAGGAATGGTTTTTGATCTCTTCCCACTTTCAGCTAATCTAAACCCAAAAGTATTGAATCACATTCCGATGGCTGCGTTCCTGCAAAAGCCCTTCTAGTTTTATTGCTTGAATTAAAAGCATACTGTCTTGAAGCCTTGAATTCCAAATGGCAGTGTCTTTGCTGCTTAATGACAAGGTAAGGGAAGCGGAGCTGGTGACTGCTCGCAACAGCATGTGCCGAGGGAACAGCATCACTCATCCTGTCATGGGGGAGAAGTGTCTGCTGTCAGGGAAAAATACCCTAGAAATTCCACCCCTTCCCTCCCCGGCAATGCGACGGTGAGCATGCAGGCAGCTGCCCAGAGTGGGAGGTGGTGCATGCCCTGGCACCCACGCGAGAATAACCCCAGGGCCAGGGCAGCCAGAATGAGATTTCCATGCTCTGGACTGCAACAGGCAGCTCAGTTGTGGGCAGCTTCCAGTGGATTTAGCTTGTTTTAACCTATGTGAAATCTGGCGTTTCTGCCTTTGTAAACAAAGTAGCTACTATATTTGTGCTGGGGAAAGGGGAGATGTTCTCCAGAAAGCCTCCCCGTCCCTGCTGGGATGAGTGAGCAGTTTTCCAGCAGCCTAATGCCCTTAACATGGCGCAGCTGAGCTCCCTGCTCAGCCCCTGCCCTTGGCTGCCTGTGTCCCACGCACGTTGCAAATTCAGGCACCTCCACCGGGGCTGCAGCTTCATTCATAAGAGCTGAAGACTTATTCCCTCAAAGCTAAGCCCCAGAAAAATACCAGATTGCAAAATAGAGATGTTTCGTAGTGACTGAAAGACTCAGTGACCAAGAAAACCCTCACACGAGCTTTCTTTTTTAATAAAGCAAACAGCACTGCCTTGTCATGTGAATTAATATCCCCACAGCATGGCTATGTGTATTTATTCCTTGCTGATGTTGCTTTTGATCACTACTAGATGAAAATGAAATCTCAGCTGCTTCAGGGCTGCTGTTAGGACAGATTCAATGAGATGAAAACACATTTCAGGAAATACCACTGAAGCCAGTTTTTGTTTTAATTTCCAGGGACATGTAGGGCTCCAATTCCTGGGGCACAGGAGGAATTACAGTCAAAGAAAGGCATGCTGAAAACACACATGAAAAATCTGTCCTTCCAACCTGCAGAAGCAGATGCCATTCAGAGGCATTGCTGTTATCTCCCTCGGTTACGAGACTCTTCCTTTTGAGGATAGTATTTGGGGAATCCAAGTCCCTTTCTTCGCAGACTTTTTGAAGGTGAAGCGGGTCCCCGAGCACAGACATGGCCAGGACTACAGCCACGGCTGTGGCACCATGACACGCTCTCCACATGCTGGTCCCATGGCCTCTGTCCAACAGTCCACCAGTCTGTCCCATCCGTCCTGTCTCCAGGTTACTCAAAACCTCACTTTGGTGACTGACTTTCAGCCTGGCTCGTGGCCTCACAGGCAGGTCCCCTTGCTTGGGGAGCGTGGGGAGCTTATCCCCAGCTAAGGTCCTCATTCTCACTCTAATATGGGATAACCTCCTTCCTCTTGAGTTTATAACCCCACGTCCCCATTTGGGAGGTGTACCTGGTTGGGGAGGTGGTATGAGCATCAGATAAGGCAGAAGGTGCTCCCGTTACACAAC